TATAGTTAAATAATTAATAAAGACAGACTGATTATTGTTAATAGTTTGAGAATTATTTGTGATTCCGCTTAAGCGTCCGCAATTCCCACCTTCCCCCATATGCGCGTTTCGCACAAATCTCTCAATGTCAAGTGATTATCAGCCTTTATTATTATCGACTTTAGTGCATAAATCTGAAATCACATTATGTTATCCATACAGAAAGCACATTCGTGTTTATTATTGTTTACCATCTCTCTCATACTCCTTCTAACATGTCCTATCTCTTTCACATCGACAGTTCCGCGGGACATTTCGGTATTGGAATGATATCGTTCCATGTCCGGACATGGTTCCTGGAACTACCTATATTACGGTCCGGCACGTGTATACTCGCATTAACTATTTTTGTTGGCCATGTGATTTTGCCGGTTTGCATAAAATTTACCTCAATTTTAGATTTTCGCTACGGTACTTTTCCATCATCTTAAATTTCGTACCTTTCACGTGATCTACTTAAAATATAACAATTTCCACATTTCAATTAAGTATAAGTTAACCTTTACGGGATCAGCCGCCCTAATGTTTCCGACATTTTTGTATCATTTCCTTGGCTAAGGCCAAAATCGATTAAGTGATTTTTTTACAAATATTTTTTTGTCAGTCCCTTTTGTTTAACCACGAACGAAAATTCGGGTAAAAAACTATAATTTCGTTAAAATCATATGCGTGTATCTAATAAAGAAATATTTATTATATTGTTGGCACACTGTCACTTCCTCCAAATGCTACAAGGGTCGTCTGGAAGAACATGCTTTAAACGATAAAACCCTTGCCCACTTTCGAGTTAAATAATTAAATATTAACTTTTCTTTATGTGTGTCAAGAATAGAGTTATAGGTGAAATGGAGAGCAAGTGGAATGGGACAAATAATAGGTTTAGTATATAAAATATACAATACAGATCACTAGTGCGACACAACGAATCGATGACAATTATAAACATCAAATATTATAGAGAATGACAGTAATAAAAAAATATATAAAAAATTAAGGGATATAGCCATCCGTATAGATTATATGTATCAGAGTCCATGTCAGGTCCTTCTTTCATTGCATCATAAAAAAATGGGTATTGATTCGGAATCTAATTAATATTTTTAAAATAGACGAAATTCCGTTTTCGCATAGTTTACCTTCTGTTAGGCATACTCCAACGCTCTTTTGTGAGGAATTTATAAAGTAAAACAACCAGAATTCATCATGAACGTTAATTCATATTTAATAAATAAATACATTTTCATTATTTTTTTATAATTAAATAAAACTAATGTAAGTGACTTAGGTGTACCAACTCTCAATGTTATCATAATATTATACAACATATAATGTCACGCTTACGCGTTTATTGCTTACCCTAATTCTATATAACAATTGTAATAACTAAAGGATAATATATATTAGAAATGTACTCTTTAATATTCATATAGGTTAAGAATAAGTTAGTAAGTTTCTTTTTATATTACAGAAAAAATTAAATTCCAACTTAATTACAAATAGAACCTTCTAGTAATTCGAATGTCCCGCACAAAGGTGTTTTCCTGGCATTTTCCCAAAACTGTCTATGGTGTGTGCTATTGGCGTCAATTTATATAACTTTTATTATTATAAAGTTTGAATTTCTCTAATCGATTTGAAGCTTTATGATGTGATAATTAGGTGCAAAACTGTGCTTTACTGTAACTGGCTTTAAATGATACTCCAAGACGTCAAATATCATGATGGGTGGCCAAAACATTATTTTTCCCCTTTCCACATCATGACTTCATTAATGATTATGAAGATTCAAATAAATAACTTATATTGCACTTTGAATTCATTACAGCAGAGAAAACGCCAGTTTTACACATCGCAAATTATTGAATTCAATATAATAACAGATTGATTATGAATTTATGAACGAAAATAGTAATACAACGCCATGTTTTATGAACATGGACCATAAAATGTATATGGTCATATTGAAATTCCACAATCAAACAAAGCGCTGCGGTGACCATATGAAAAATAGAAAAATATTTCATGGGATAAATTAGAAAAGAATATAATTTGTAGGTAAATCAATCAGATCGATATTTTAATAATAATTTTTGTGTACGCGAACAACAAAATTAATATAATACTTTTCTTTTTCATTACAGCACAGCGCTTTACAAATCGAAGCTTCTTTCTCGATAGAAAGCGACCAATTACTTAATCACCTTGAACACAAATAATAACATCTTTGGCTTCAAGCGAAATTTACAAAAGCAATATTTAATTAATACAATCATTTCACACATACAATAATAATATATTAATTGGCGTATTTCAACAAAAGTGTTTTTATAATGAAATATTAATTTTTCAAAACGGCTCTTATGGATTCTGGTAAAAGTTTATTATATTGTGTCGAAAAATGTTTAGCATAAGACCTTATCTCAAAAAACATTTAGTTTTTTATCTACATAACAATTTAATTATCATAGACAGACATAATGTGACATGGTTCTAAGTTCGTTACATATACATATATCACGAACTTAGAATCATCCTTTTAGAACTAACCTTAGAAAAACCAAGAACTAAAACATGTAATTTATGTGAAACTCTTTGAATCGAAATACGCCATTATCACAAAACAATACTAATATTATATCCCTCAGAACGCATATCGCTTGAAATACGTACAATACAAGTTTCTTTGCAAAAGAAACCAGACCGGTAAATGTATATCTATTTCGGAGAAAAACAAAAAAAAAAAAGATTAAAAAACGGAATTATTAAGGACGAAAAATAAAGATCAGGTTTGCAGTGACAAAATCCGAAATAGTTATTCTACCGATCTTAATAGGTTTTTATTATTTTAAATTACAATAATAAATCGTAAAATTTAAACAGCGCCGGCTTTGGACATTTAACTTCTGAACGCGTTTAATATACACTTCACCTATAGATAGAATAAATCTGACTCCACTGTGCTTCTAGAATAATACCTAATCTTTCCACTAGCATAATTACCTCTATAAACCGATCAGACACCAATACGGGTTTAATCTTTGTATAGATATAAGGTTCTCAATTAAAACTTTATTGAAAATCTGAGGAGGCATATCAAGTGTAGCACCCATATAATCCCTAATAGTCTTGAATTCCATTTTCGGACACCAATGATCTTCAAAGCCGACCCTGATATTAAACTTCGATTTAAAGAATCAATTCCTTTACTTATGTCATGCATTACAATATTTATTAATAGCTAATTTTCCAAAACGCGAAATCACATATTACCGGCCGCAAAAGACAAACAAATCAATATAGATATTATATAATCATATTACTGTCGTTTCATTATTAGTAAAACAATTATGATATGAAACATTTTCTCAATTGATTGTGATATCATTTTTTAAAATTCATTACTGAAACCTCAAAAATATTAAAGCATATATATGAAAATGTCTCATAAATTTATTAGTTACAAAGATACAAATATTGCGGCCAAAAAATATTATTATGAATGAATTTAACTTATTAATTGTGATTTATTCAAAAGGAGATTCAACGGTTAATAATTGTGGACAACAAAACTATACTAAATATATAGTTTAAATAAGATTAATATAAAGGTAATAACATAATAAATATTTGAGAAAACCTTATTAACAAAAAGAAAATGAAACGAAATATACTTTGAACACGAAAAATATTAGACAATAATAAATAATAATTGAAATATAGATACAATTACATATTATAATTTATTAATAAGAACGTAGAAAAAGTTTCTTTGATAGCTATATATTATTAGTAAGCAAAGATCTCATTAGCTTTGTGCCTCCGAATACATAGCTCGAAGACAAAAAAGTCATTTTAATTCTCTAACTATTCGTATCAAACAGTATTTTTCAACAAGCTTAAATACAGTAAGTCAACAGTGGTAAGCTACTATTAAACAACATTAAATGTTATGGCCGGTCTAATTTTTTTTAAATACAATCACAATAACAGACGTATACACAGAGGTACAACAGGCTGTTTAAAAATACAGTCATTTTATTGACTACAAAGGAAATGTGTATCTATGTGTTTCAACATAAAGTTCAAATTAGTAGTATGCTTATACATAAGCAGGAGCGCACGATTGAGTAAAAAATATTGTTTTCTTGTGAATTTAAATAGAGGTGGTAATTGTGTTTTTCTGTAATAAAGAAAAAGTAATGTTTAATTTTTATAAGACCGGCCTAAAGTCATTTTTATTTACTTAGAACTAGTTAGGTAGGTATAAGTTATGGTAAATCCATGGAAGAGAAATAGGGTAACGTAATTACATACGTTTCTTGTCAAAATCAGACTTTTGTTAAATGGTAATTTGAAAGAAATATTAGGTCAATGAACGATTTACGTGTTCTAAGTACAATCTGCAAAACATATAGGACACATTATTCTGGATCAGATATTCTGGATAAAAGTCTACGAAATATGACTAAAGGACACCGATTGGATTACAGAATTTGAAGGATAAGGTTATTTAGACTATTTAAAAAATTTTCTCAAGTTGCCTATATAGCTAATAAAATTCATCAACAATAGTGAATAAATTCGTATTTTTTTTATTATTATTAATAATATTTAAATAGTCAATATACGGTGATTTATCTATGTAATCAATATAATCATGTATCGTTTGACAGTGCATCAAATTGTGATTCTAATATTATATTCTATTGCATTCTATATTGAACGTATGTACAATTATTCTACGAAAAATAATTTACCATGAAATCTAAGAGAAATACCTTTATTAATTATTATAATTTTCTTTTAAAATATAACTTTTAATACTTTATGGTTTACTGGTAACGTGGAATGAAAATTATCTAATGAATCTTTCCTCAAATAGAGCTGTCCTTATATCGACATATTATGTTCTATTAATTGTCGATAATATTTTATTTAGCGTCTCTCACAATTTTTTTTTTCGATCTATAGTAAGTTTCTAGATGCAATGTATCCAATAAGTTGGCGTATAATGTAACCAATAACGGTTGGTTTAGTTCACTATCGAAGGTAGTGCTGTTATTTATGAAAATCAGCTGCTATATTACCCTACTTCCAATAACATGGACCCAATATTTAGTTTACGTTATCGAAATATACAACCCGCCATTTGTAAAGGCAAAATTATTTTTTAAAGAACTTGAATATGCATTTGATATCAAATTTTTTGACAGATATATATATTTAGCGATATTATTTTCCATCTTCGACAATTCTAATATATTGTTTGACCATTTCCGTATTTAAATATTACCAAAATCCGCCTGATCCCATTCACCTCTCCCGTAAAACCGTTATATTAATGTAACTATATGTCCTATATTTTTAAGAAAATGCTACTTGTTAATAAAGTACCAAAAATGTTTCAGTTGGCACTCGAACAAATAATATTACTATTATTTCTATAGGATAGTTTCATTTCAAATATCGAAAGATGGCACAGTAAAAAAATAAAACATTATAACAAAAATTTACATTTTCAAATACGAAAATGTTTCGACGACAGTTCACAATAGTGTAATGAATATCTAGTTAAGTCTTTTTCTCTAAATCGGAAGACTATAGAGAATTATATAAATTTTAATGTTACCACATTTAATGTATAACATTATGGGCTCATGCAAATCTGACAGAAGATTGGTCAAGTGACTCACGTACGTAATTGTGTCGGGTAATTGGAAATATTAGACAAAGCTCGTAGTTATATTTCAACATTAGAACATGGAGTAAATAAAACAACTTTTTCATTTAGTTAGTTCGTTTGTTTTTCGCACATTAAAATGCAGCGCTGAAGTATAGTTTGATAAAATTTCCATGCTCACTATTACTTATTCTGTGAAACGTTTGTACTAGACTAGTATATGAAGTAAACAGTACTAAGTACTGCAACAAAGCGACAAAGTTGCGGTAATGCGTCCTATTGTCTGCGATAAACATGGGTTGCTATTCTATTAAAACCAGCCTCGAACCAGCCAGCAGCAACAATAAAAAACCAGTTTCAATTGAATAAAACCCTTGACCTTTACCTTTTCAAGATTTTTTTAATAGATCATCATTACTATGACAGCTTTTTTATAACAGAATAACGCACTCCGAGGAATCAACAAGTATTGACAGGTCTTCTGTTAGATTTGGACTGCCCCTACAAAAATCATTACCATCCTTTGTCATATCATAATTATATTGAAAGAAAAAGCTATGTCGCTTCAATAGTAATCATAAATATAGCTTTTCGAAACCAGCTCGAAAATTGTTCACGTGTTAGTCGATGTATATTGAATCTTAATACATTCGCATAAAGTCCGTTTCTCATAAATGTCGATGTCTACCATCATAAAATAATATTCATCAAAACAACGTTACTGATTAGTTATCCTTTCTTGTGTGAACATCACAAAAACCAGAATTTTATCAGAGTAAATGAATAATTAGTCCTTAGACTCTTTAGATTCCTTCTTTAATGGAAATCGCGTCTCAAAAAAAATCAAATTTTGAGTTTCATTGGATTGTCAAATTTATACTTCCGTGCTCTTGCCGACTTGTCCGTGTTTCGAATCTGGGACACCAGAGGCGCTCAGTTTGCGTTGTCGTCCAGGAAATATACCACCAAAGAGTCGACCTGGAACAAAACATAGTTTATGAACGGAAAGTCATGTAACTCATTGGCGATAAAAACTTTTGGAATCAAAACTTTACGAGTCCGATCCGTTGGCTTAATGTTGTCTATCTGTATTTTTTTGTTTACTCTACCACGGGGCACCTATTTATCATTGGCAATTTAGACGTATGATGGAATACCATCCTTATTTTATGAATATCCCAAACTTCCGCACAAAACACTACTCGTCAGCTTTTATTCCATGCACTGCCAGAGTGCATTCTCTGTCGGCACCTATTTTCCCAAAAACATATAATCCAAATCTATCCAAGGCGTGAAGTGAACAGGCTTCTACTAGAAAAGCTCGTTCCACCGTAGATCTCATCCATGGCCCCAAGCTGGATCGAGATCATCAAAGCATCGAGTGCATCAAACATTCACATGTCATACGTAGGCATATAGGTTAGGTTATCCGGCGGGTGGGTGGTTAGAGCCCTGGTTTAAGGTGCATTTTAACTGCGTAATAAAAAAAGGTTAGGGGTCTCCAATTTTCCAAACTTAGACGCTCTAATCGGTCCATTGTGCGCGATACATCAATAATCTCGCATTATAAAAAAGTAGCTAAGATATAAAAAGCCATTCACGTACTAAGGCTGGAGTTCACCGAGTTTCTAATCAACTGATTAAATCCTTAATCGGCCGAATAATTTAATCGAGGCCTACAACCCTGTTTAAACATTGATTATGTTTACTTGTCATTATTTGATGCATGCCTCTTGCTTGGCTTTTATTTTTATAATTTTATAATTAATTTATAATTTTGGCTTTTATAATTTTATATTGGATATATATTACTAAACCATCACCTTTTTGGATATTATGCAAAACACAAACATGATACCCACCTAATACATACATTATACACCTACATCTATTACAAACACTCATCACTTGAGAAATTGGACGTGTGCTTATTCTGTCCTTTTTAAATATAAAACATTCAATTACACATGAGACGCAAGAGAAGCAAACGCAACAATTGTAAACAAATAATGTTTTACACAAGCCCAAAGAGTATAGTTAAAGTACATAGTCTTTGGTTTGATATAACAATTGACAAAAATAAAGAGTAAACAAGACACAATAGACAACCATTTTGAGCTTATAGGTCAATCAAAGTTAAAATACTATTTATATTGTTATTGTTATGTCGTCCATACTCTTAAAATTGTTAGTTTTATTATTACGCTGTCAATATAAGCAGTGTCGCTTGAATACGGTAGAACTACATACGCAACTGATTAGGATATTATCATTCCTACATTCAACAGTCAACAGTTACAATTTAGTCGACTGATTGCTTAAACGTTTATAAATACTATATACATATATCTATATACCGACGACTGGCGAACTCGAGCCTTAAAAGTTATTTAATTATCTACGGTTTCACTCATTCGTGTATTTCATCTCATCCATCGTTCATTCAACGCCTTACTCTTATTGGTGAATAATTGACTGACCAGGCGAACGTTGTTCTCCGGGATGTCTTGGCGAGGTGGCGTGTAAAGCGTTCCTGCTGCCGTGCTGGAACGAGACAGACATACCGCTGTCCAACGATCCCACTGAGCCTCGCCGTTGAAGACGCTCGGCCGCTAAAGCGACTGCAAAATAAATAAACATTCAGATACTGACCGATTGACTAGTACAGTAGCCGGCAAACGTCTTGAAATCGGGTGGGGATTGTGCATACGCATATTTTATAAATGCGTAGGGCCGCAAGGGAGGGGCGCGCGCTATCACGGCGTTAGTTCACCGACGCAATCGATCGCGAAGCATTTGCTAAATCTTGTCACTTGTATGGTTATATTTCACATGTGCTTTGTCTCGCTCTATTATTAGCTCGATGAAATAGCTGCGTCCTTGTCAGTACGGTTTCGCAGTAAAACTACGAAAACATCGTTACACAGATGCACATTTTTCACATTAAGGTAAAATGATAAATAAAATTTCATATAATTTTGTTCCAAAAGGTGACAACCCTGGAAGATTTTAAAAATCATTCACTTACGGGAAGCTACGTCGTATGCAGTGGATATAGTCTATATTTTATTCCAAAAAAAAGTAAATTAAGGGATGAAAATAGGAGTTTCAAATTTGTATAGAGAATGGAAACGTTACCATACTAACCATGGTTTACTATTCAATTTGTCATTGTAATTATATCCGTGTCATCAATGATGTATTAAGAAGTTTAGATGGGTAATCTGCGCGCAACATTGACAACAAGAAAGCAAGGCAATTGCCTGAGTTTCTCTTTAGTCACGTTTCAGCAAGTGTTGTGGTTAATATTATTTTCACTCGTAATTTTCTTTGAAAAGTTGTAGGAAAAATGTCTTCCTGAATGTTTAAACAATGCGCAAATTAGATATTGAAAATGAGAAAAGCAAAAAATTATAATTACGTTCGTAAGTAGGTGCTTACTCTTTTTTATTTTAATAAAAATAGGAAAAGTCATTGAACGTGGCCATTTTTTCGTGCATGGTATTCTACTAGGGGAGATTGGAGTCGACACGTATAGCTAAGTAAGTATGTATATCTCGTTTGAGTACGAGATATGATTCTAATAGAGAGAGAGAGAGAGAGATAACTATTTTTGATTTCTTCGCGCCCTTTGTGGTTATATTATAATGTAACGCCACCACAATAAAGTTTACGCTGTTTTAAAACGGGTATGACGTGTATAATGATAAAATGTTTTTGCGTGTCACGATATGAATTGATATCCAAATTGCTGTTTACACAGGAGTAAATAATCTTAATAATATATACCCTATTGAACAATTCCTTACGGTTACTGGGGGCGAAGGTTCTGGCGGAAAACTAGTATATAATGAAAGCGTAATAAAAAAAATTGTAATATCACTGACCTGGGTCGTTAATGTCGACTAGAGAGTTGGAGAGTACGTTCCTCTTGATGATGGTAGTAGGCGGTGGGTTGTGCGGGAGACGAGATGGTGCCGACGGAGCCGGACCGGACGGTGGAGGTGGAACCACCACACTGATACCAAGAAAATGATATGGTCAAAGTAAATAAATATACGAAAATATTGTTATCCTAGAGTAGCTCGGTCACGTGATGGGTGACTAACAAATTATTATCTCGAGCTACCCCGTATTTCGGAAAGCACGTTAAGCAATTGGTTCCGGCTGCATTTTGCAGTCGTTAAGACCCTCCAATCCGCATTGGTAGTGATTGCACCTTATTAAGCGCTTAAACAAGGGTGCGACGTTACTTAATTTGACAGCTATTTAAGGACTAAGATGCGTTTTAACTTTTATGAACGTTTATAAGTAAAGATTGTTGTTAATGAATTGCTAAGCAGTGTATTAGTTTTAACCAATGTTTATAAGTACGCTGATTAATGTGTAGCACAACATTAAAGTAGTGTTAATGTGAAAACTCTTTTGACTCTCTGAGATCTTGTACTCGATTCCCGATTGGGTTAATATAAGAGATTATCTCGTCTAATATTCATTGATTATTTAATTAATTTATCTTACCCATGAACGTGCATGTGATCCATGCACTGCTGATGATCGATCTCTACGTCTGCGACGCCACTATCCCGATTCTCCATAACTGTTGAGAAAAGAAGACTTCATTATTATTATTAATATTAAATTGAATGATTTCTGCTGAAGTAGACAACAAAACACGGTGTATGGCCATCCCGAATTGATCCAAAATACCTAAGAGAAAGTATTTTGAACGAAGATTTTATTTAAACGTAACTTACCCAACAAAATTACATTCCAATAAATTCAACATTAACTCAAAAAAGGCAAAGAAAGACGCGGTAAAAGGGGGAGGGGAACTTCACACTATATTAACCATGATGCGACCTTTAAAGTATAATTTCAGTTGCAGATGCCACGGAGGCATACCTAGATTTTAGATCCCTGCTTTATTATGCGGCATCTTAATATAGAGTTGTTCTATGAACCGGTTTCAATTCTGAGCCGTGTCAATGTGGAAAATTGACTTTTCTATATAGAGTATAATAATAATCATCTCCGTTCCAGGGATCACCAGTGGTCGCGGAACGTCGTTAACCACTTGGACAGTTGTCTTTTTTAACACTAACTCTGTGATAGTTCGTGTACTAACCGTTCCTATTGTTCCCGCCGGTTCTCCCTTTGCCCCTGTTCAGTTCCCCTTCGATCCTCATCGCTTCCATATCGTCCATTTCCGCGATACTCTCGCGCAGATCCTCCGCGAACTTGCAACGATCGTGTTCGTTGCGAGCATTGAACGTCGCCAATCGGCGGCCATCCACGCGTCGCGACAAACGAATCCCGAACGGATAATCTGAAAAAAAAATAACATAGATAAATGTATCACGTGATTTGTCTGTTAGTTTGCATTGAATAGGGTTCTAAATAAATAGCGATTTTAAAAAATCTTTCGCCCACGTAAAGCTACATCATATGCGGGCGAGACAGACTATAATTTACAGCATTCGTTGGAAAACAGCTACTTTAGAAAAATAAAGTATTTGTTTCAACTTATATACACTGTATTTATTTATAATGATATTTTTTTTTTGTTCTTGCATGTTAAGCTCGACTGCATTTATTGATGTGATAATAAAAGAAACACACATTTTCCTTATTGTGTAGTGACGTCAGTACTCACGTGGCACAGAGAACAGGTTGACACTCATTCCGCAGAGCGGGAATGACTGACGGAATGTATATGTCACCGATGACTTCTTTTTGCTGAATATCTTCGTTATCACTAACAGGTCATTGAATAGGAACACCTGGACAAAAGTCATAATATAAAAAAATAAATAAAATAAAAAAAAAACTTACGAATTCTATCACAAAGCGAGTGAGGAGTGAGTGTTCTTAGAACTGGGCTATCCGAGACTTTACAGCGACTAATAAGTTTATCAAGTAAATAGTTACTTCCAACGCTAGTGACCATACTAATATCCATATTAAAATCATCCCCTGAAATATTTTGTTTCGACTAAGATGAATGTGATGAATTTTATTATTGATAAACTCTCATCTGTATGCTGACTTTTTCTACCTAACTTTGTAAGGAAAAAGGCAATTTTTTAACGATCCACCAAAATCTATAAATTGATCAAATATAATCATTTCTTAGATATCAAAAGTATATGAATACACTTTTACGAGATTTGTTTCACTCAAAAATACATGATAGACACAAAATTCAATCAGCAATCCGTCCATGTAATCAGATTTCGGTGATGCAGAGTAAACAAAAGGTTATATATGCTTGGTCCTTCGAGCAGGATACTGACCTCCCTCTGATGTACACCAGGGCGTTCCTTCTTATGAATATCAGGTATCTCGTAAAGTCTGCAGTAGCAGACTAACCGTCGGTGTGGCAGGGCGAGATGTGGTTTCTTACCGACGATCGTGGCTTGGACTTTCATCACCTAAGCAAATAATTAATTATCATTATTGTATATAAGCCTATTATTAGTATCCTCGATGAAGGAGGCAGATTTTCTATGGATATAAACACATAATTCATCATACGAACCTAGTGCAGGTTGTTTAGTGACAAGTAATTATATAATATATTTCTTTAGAATGATCATAAAATATTGCGTTTCAATCATCATCATAATAAACCTTTATATTTTTATTCCATCTATCAAGTATTTATCAGTGAAACAAATATGAGTCTTGTTACCTGCGTGACATGGTCGCTTCCAGGTCTGAACTCGCTCGATTTCACTCTATCGTATATACCGGCGAGCATGTCTCTGTCTATATCTCCGCAGTCGTCGATTCCTCTTAAATTTCGTACAAAGTCATCTAGTGACATACGAGCTTCTGGTTTCAAGTTCGGTGTGTGGAGATCTGTGTTCAGCATTATTATGGCAAACGCCAAGACAAATATCTGTAAATATAAAAGAGGTGTGTTAAAACGGAGATATATTTTATGGTGGCTATCAATTGTTTAATAAAATGTTAAATATATTTTTCATTATGATTTTCCAAAAATATTAAATAAATTAATTAATGAAACAACATTCAATAGTAGCCTCGAGACTAAATTTGTGTCTTAAACTATTCGATATTTGTGAAGTGACAAACCAACCAAATATGTATATACCGTGATTAAGTTGTTTAAATACGATGACGAAAATTCAAAACTCTAAAGAAAGAAAAAAAATGACATATCACTGAGCAATGGCAGCTTCATCTTCATTTTTTATCTAAGAGAAGTTGAAAAAATATTTGAAAAAGCGATTATGAACCCGATTATTTCCTTTCTAGCGAACTCGAGAAAAAGTTACGATTTTTTTCTCTCTCGATGTGTACATGTTTAAAACCAATTTAACCGGACGATTAACCTTTATAGGTCTATATTTTACAAGTATCGAATGTTTCTAGTAACTTTTAACTGTTTTTCATCTTTATTCCTAACGCCATAAGGTCTGTATTTCATTCTCACCGTGTCCTGTGTACGTAATCGCTGCACAAAATCCGGATTGCAGACACAGTAACGCCTCGCGAAAGCTTCCACTAGTCTTTCTATCTTTTGCGCCTCGCCCGGTAACCGGAAATGGGCTTGGTATCTTCGTAAGGCGACATCTACCGCCATACCGGATAGATCAAGCTCGTTCACGAAACACCTAGAAAGGGTAATATTATTTAACCATCATCATCGCTAGCCTATTAATGCTTCATGCTGGAGCTCAGATCTAAGGATGGAATCGAATCTAGTCGAAAATGTAATATAGCTCTTGATCCAGTGCGGATTAGAGAGTATACAGCCAGGGCCAATGGCTTAAAGTGCCTTCCGAAACATGGATAAGCTTGAAATAATACATTTTTGGTCACCCATCTTAGATACCGGGTTCAGGGATGATGTAGAAAATGAATTTTTCTATACTGTCTCGGGTTGTCGTTGTGATAATTTCGTTATCTAAGATACTCCTCAATATGCGGGTTTTAAGCTATTCTTCTTAGAAGTTGAGCAATGTATGTTATGTTGTCTAATGTTCTTAAAAAAATTGCTAATACGAACTTACTCTAAGACTGCCATATTGAATGGACTCTGCAAATTGCCCAAGTATTCTCCAATCATCTGCTTGCTCAGTCCCTTCCTGGTAATGAGGAATCTAGCTACGCCTCTAGGGGAGTTCTCTAAGAAACCTCTAGCGATTAGGTACGCTATGCCCCGTTCCGGTTTCTTGTTGAACAGATTTAAACCGACACGATATTGCCGCTTGCGAACCGTTTCAGAAACCTGCGAACAAAGTTTATGTTCACAAGAAAGAATTTACGCGACACTGAAGATTATGATTTAGTGTAAACAAATTTATTAAAATCGTTGCATTAATATAATAGATTGAGCGTATTCTGATAAAGAAAAGAAGTGTTTGATAAAATAGTTTCTTGAGCTAATGGCATTTGAGCCATTAAAGTATACAATTTGGAATTGTATTATGGTGAAGATTATAATCAGATGTTATATTTAATATAAATGTCAGACTTCTGCGCGAATAAGACGCATTTTGTTATTATATTGATAATTAGTTAAATTTTGTGTTACTCTGTCTAAAGGTGCCTGTTGGCTGACTTTAATAATTAATTACAACATAGACTATAGTAGTAAAACCTTCACATAAACCGTAGCAGTCGAGACCGCCGTAGCAAAAGGTAAGCAGTCACCGTAGCCGGTGTGCGTAGGTATATAAATAGTGCAAATGAGTGGGAGGGTCACCTTGAGTGGCTGGTGGGCGTGTTCGTGCGGGAGGCGGCAGCAGGCGGCGGGGGGCGGGGGCGGGGCCTCGTAGTAGGGGGGCGCGTCCTGCCGCTTCCACACGCTGTAGCGATCCACTCCTTCATACACGGTACCCGATGCTGTCCTTTGGTGGGCTTGGAAGTGCTGCTCTTGGATGTGGACGTGCGGTTCCTGGTCGGCGGATATTGTTATCAGAGCAAGCTCGACCAGGACTTATTGTAAAGGAGAGGAGGCAGCCAGCCAATGAGAACCAGCGACAGAAATGAAAGAGAAGGGAGTCCTCAATCGCAGCTCCAGGTAAAATCATAAAAATTAAAATACTGGTAGTTCGTAAAATGAGCAAAAAAGAGTGTGATGAAATCCCTTGGCGACTTCTGGCTAAAATATTATGTAATATGTGTATCACGGATGAAAACCTTTCAAAATTAAGATTCCCGTCTCCATCAGCAATATCGCATAAAAATTAAATCAACTTATTCATATAGGTATATAATGTAAATACATTCACCATTTACATACATAAAATATCCCAAAGCCAAATCGTTAAACACACTTTATCCGAAAAATATAAATTTTGAAACAAAGCTAGTTAATATATATCTAATTATATTCGTAGCATGCCATCAGTTTGAGTGCCATTGATATGTTAGGGTAACGTCAGGAAAAAGGTTCTCTTCACAGAAACATACAAACATTTATTATCAGTCGAATTTAATCAAACATTAATGTTTAGTTTAATAACTCACCGGCGCCCTGGGTTGGTAAGGCTGGTGATAGTGATGGCGATGTTCTTGAGATGATGATGATGATGAAGACTGCACGGAGGACATCGAACCGCCTCTCACTACAGCGCCGCCGCATTCCGCGCGACGTAACGATACTGGACTCTCCGCACTGTGTAATAAGATTGAAAATTGTTTGAATTATGAATGAATGAATGAAAGACTCTTTATTGAACACATCATAAGTAAATGAACAAAACATAATAATGTAACAGGCAGTACAATTGACGGACTTATTGCTATAAAGTAATTTCTTCAAGGTAAACTTAACATGACGTATGGGATACAATTGAAAAAATTGGGTAGTCTATAGTGCAAGAGAAGTCCCTTACATTACCAAAAACATTAATGGTTAAAGAGATAAATTGTCTATAAATACATAAGAAGCATACATATAAATATTAGGTTGAGGAAAATGTATTTTCGCATATAGTATAAGTAAACTTGTAATAAAATCTTTCTGGCTATACCATTTGTATCTGGCTGGTTTCGGTAACATTTAAAATTTTAAATTTTAGAGAAGACAACTCTGAATTCAAATTAGGAAAATGTGTGATATTCATATTTTTTCTTACAACATTTTTGATTTTTATTTAAAAAAATGTAAAATAGCAAAAAATATGACTTTATGGACCTAGTGCAGTTTCTGTGAGAATAGCACAAATTTAGTTTAAGTACTTTTTTGGAAATTTTGTTTTCAAAGATTTGATCGCTCCGGACGTCCTGTAACGAGTAATAAAATTGATGCAATTTTGAAAAAGCGGAGCAAGTTCGGCATTGTTACGATGTAGCTGAAGAACTGGGGATTGACCACAAAACAGTTTTGGCGCATTTGAAAAAGCTGGGTACACAAAAGAGTTGGATTAGGTACTTCACGAGCTCCCTGTAAGAAACCCAATGAACCGTGTACTCGTTTGTGATTACTTACGACCCTAAAGCTCGTGCGTGCTTATCGTACAGGAACATGAAGCGTTTCAAAATGAAGAATACTTTAAAGGAAAAAAACACTATGTGCATTACGAAAAAGACGAATTGGTAGCCATTAGAGCTTAGTACGGAAACCGGAAACATGATCATATTTGCGTAGTCCAATAAGAATATCTGGGTACAAAAATTTTGGGGCCGCTAAGTTTATTTAATTGCTCTTCAACGAGGTCAAGATAACTGACATCGACATAATCTAGGATAAGAAGGAGAAAAGATTGTGCCAGCGCAGTTTCAATTTATGCCTGCGAAAAATTATCAATTAATGATTTCATAGTAGCAAGTCATATGATTTTCATCATACAGAAACATACTTTAAAAAGCTTTTTACTCCGCATGTAAATAATATTTCATTGGTAAATTATGTCGTATTTTTATAAAATAATATCATACTATGATAATATAAGATAAAGATGACATCCAATAGACTTTAATTCAACGGCATAAAGTTCAATTTGCTACATACTTTAGTGTAATACTGCTTGTTCTCTTTGGTACTTCGGGCGGTAATCGTCGAGCATTCGCCGCCTGTATTGCCGCTAGCTGCTGTTGCTGCCGCGCAGTTGGAGACGACAGAGGTTTACCACCAGATGACAAGAGGTTACCGTATATAGGACCTGCAATCGTAACAACATAGGCTTAGGGATAAAATTGATTTGGCAGACTAATCTTAATAAAGTTAAATTCGTATTTGAGTATGTCTACCATCTAGACTACGAAACGAAATATTTCTAATTCAATCAAGTAATTTAGTCATTATTCACAAATAATGTGGTGGGGTTGGAGTGAACCTCAGTCCTTATCACACCAGTGCGTTACTGACGTCTGACTAAACTTGGACGTCAGAGTCTAGTATATCTCTATCCCATTCTAACTGAGATTTCAAACGTTCATATTTCAGTAAATTATTGAAAACATTAATGTGATTTATAAATTTCTAAGTAAGTTTCTGCAGTCTCAGTTAAACGATACGTAAAAGTATTATTAAATAAAAATATTATTAATTAATGTTATCAAATGTTGATCTTTAAAATACACAAATCGTTGGTTACTTTAGTAACATTTTTATTTCGAAAAAACGTAAATCATACAAACCAGTATTATTAAGCAATTGATGGTTATGTAGAGATTCATTGTGCGACGAGGAAGTCGATATATTGGTAACGGAACCGCTCACTGAACAGCTGCACACCTGCAATAGACGACGTTATGTCTTTAAACATAAGGTTAAATCAACATGTTTCATTTATAAAGTACTAATTTTGCTGAAGACTTATATTTACATAAGCAAGATTGCAATGTTTGATCAAGATATTATAGCATGCTATAATGAACAGTGGGTATGCAAATCTTTTTGTCGATAAAAAGTAAATAATAACAATGACATCATACACGACGTATAACTAAAATTGGTTTTATTTGGAATTTAATTAGCGCCATTTTGTCTAGAAAAGAGTTTCGTAAGTGGTTTTCCTTGTGAATTTGACGCAGATATTTAATTGTAGCAATTCGAATCTCTTAAATCTGGAATTCGCAGTGGTATATGTCTACCCCTTGAGGTCTAAATCAAGGTCGACATAAACGAAAACTAATTTAAGTATAGACGGGGTTTAAAAATCGACCCCATTAATTAATTAAGTTGTTTGAAACTTTCAAGATACTGTATAAGTTTCCGAAACTACTGGGCCTTATTTAAAAAAAAAATCATCTACGAGAAGCTAAATCATACTGTAGTGTATTACGTAAATACATAAGACTATAATTAACGAGGGTGTAGTTTTGGGAAAGCAGATAGTGACTAATATATTATTAGAAACTTCTATGTATTATACATAATTCTATAATTACATTATATATTTACTGAATTATGTATGACTATTCGATGCTAACGTGTTTGTATTATATGATAATTCTATCTTATACGTTGTAATAGGAAACTAATAAAAACTTTAAGAGCTATAATCAAATCAAAAGTTGGCAACGGTGAAACTATCCAGAGAATTGGATTTTCATTTCATCATCATCAGCTTGATCCACAGCAGCAGCAGGCCCCACTGCTAGGGCAGAGGCCTTCTCTATAGGTGCATTTTAATCGAATCTAATAGGGAGAGTACACCATGAGCCACCACGCGGGCTGAGCGCTGATTGGTGGATGTTGAAGACTGCAGATACAAACGAAAGCAATGACTTAACGTGCACTCCGAAACACGGAGGTGCTCGACATAACATTTTTTGGTATTCCATCCTACGTTCAGCCCTTGCGAAAGGTGCTTTACTTCAGCCCGAAGACCGAACGCTATAACCATTTCACCATCAAACTTTTCAATTGATTTACGCTTAGAGAATCGTACAAATAGTAATCTACTAAAAAGAAATGTCAATAAAGTGACGTCTGTATATACCACTATTGTATTATCTTACGTACTCACTTCATACGTCACAATACGCCTACCAAAATACGGCCATAGTTTTATACTCCGGACTTTCACAACGCATTTCTCGTCAGATATTCTTATTAACACCAAATTACCACTGTTGATATTTTCCAGCAACATTTTTTTGGTTATAAAAAATATATATCAATTACGGCACACCTGACCACGTCCGAGTCATAACGTTAACTGATATCTGACAACTAGATAAGAGGTTTTGCATGCGTATAATAATTATCTTGTAATTCGCATTCCTTTGTACCTGAATTTTGGTGAGGCGCTAATTTTTTATTTTTGTTAATTGACTCATTCGATGTTGACTGTGAAATTAGTACTGTAACATAGTACAACTTTAATATTATATCGCAATTCTGTAAATAAGTTTGTTTAACAACTTATTATAGATTTTATTTCTTTCATTATACTACGGATGAATGTTAAAACAAACCCATAACGGTTACATGTAACTTCAGAATAAATTTAAAACAATCCCTGATCATATCTAGTTTATCTTTAGTTTAATATAGACAGTATTTTCTTTGGTTCAACGAAATTGGCACTCAGTATATCTCAAATGTATTATAGTATAGGTACTCAACTATGGGTCGACTACACGACTTAGTGATTTAAGGGTATTTTTTTTTTGCAAATAGACCTTGAGAGCCGCAATTATCATCAAAGAGCCACAGGTTGCCGATCCCTGACCTACAGGCAGCTAATCAACGTAAATTCAGACTTTCGTCAACTATAATAAGGTCCAGAAATCTTCACATAAAATGTAGCCTTGAGTATAAATAATAAGGATTTATAATTCTTACCCCACTGTCAGTATCGCCACGATGATGTGGCGGTATATCTGATGCGATCATGTGTATCTGATGAGCTGACTGCTGGACTCGAGCCACCATCGCTTCTACATCATTCGTCTCGTATTGGAGATGGTTACTGGATAAAATATATTGGTGTATTAATGCTTTACAAAAGGACGTATTACAGTAATTTTCTTTCGCCAGGTTGCAGCACTAACACATGTAAATATTTTTTTTATAAACGTCATTAAGTAAATTAATAGTGAGCTCAGTAGAAATTCAATATTTTTTGAGTTTATAATTAGTAAAAGTGTAATTTTATCTAATAATACATCAATGCTATATATTGATATTTCAAAATGGAATGTGGTCTCTGCCTACCCCGCCGGAAAAATGGCGTGACGATATATCGATAGATAGAGTGCTACATATTTAGAAGTAAAAAGGAAGGGCCTCATTCTTTTCCACATCCCAGTTATAAATGCCTACTACAATCTGCCGTGCTTTGCGTATTTTTTTTTTTTAATTTGTAAATGAGTGATTTTAATTTTAAGGTTTTATTGAAATCGATTGTAGTAAGACGATATATTCTTAGTATTTACCTCATATCCATGTCGTGACGTTCTCTAAGCGACATAGACCGCATGGGTCGTGTCAACGCGAGCATCTTTTCAGCACCCGCTGGGCTTTTCTGTAGTAACGTGTTTGCGTATATATCTGTACCTGAAATTATATAGTTCGATCAGAACTGCCGTTTCGATTTTCTTCCCATTGTCCATCATTGTAGGGGGAGGTTCTAGTTTAGAACAATCAATAGGCATTAAGCGTCATATTATAATATTAATTTTAGGAGCAAGATCTCAAGCATTTTTGGAATACCCGAATACAGCGTCACGCGACCTTAAAAGGTCTCTTGCATAATTAAGGTATTGGTCGCCTACATTGCAATGCTACCTTAACCTTAAGACTTCCATAGACAAGTGGCTCAAATTTTTATCTATTGTCTGTGTTGAGGTACCTTCTCCGTTTCTGATACTCCATAATAAGAGGGCTTTAGATTATGATTATGATAGATTATTTACTTATCTTGGAATTTGAGCAATGTATGTGATGTTGTCTAGTATTTATTTATTAAATAATATGGAAAGTTGAATAAAAGAGTCTATGCAAACACAAATATCTCTTCATACCATATTCAACTCTGAAGAATTAAGAATAAAGTCGACTTTGCTGCAGCACTTGTCACAAAAGTTGACACACAAACCACCGACTCACCATTGACTAGTTGAACGTGATCAGGGCCATCTTGCATCCTCCTCGCTGTGGAGTCTGCGGCCTTGGCCATAGCTGTGATGGCACTGAACTTCTTCAGCAGTTGGCGTCTTCTGAACGCCCTCTGGATGGTTACCGCCGCCCTCCTGGCCCTGAGACCCCCGTATCGCCTCTCCAGAATCTCAACTTGCTTATCGAGGAGGTCTTGTGACATTTCATAGCGACTGTGAAAATTTAAATACATATATATTAGATTTTACATTAATTCGAAGAAACAAAGCAGGATTTATGTGCTTGAGGTCTTATGATATTTGCATAGGGAGTGAAAGGATCAAATCAGATTTTTCGGACTTGATTAAGCTGCAGCACACAAGATTTTATAAGAATCTGTGTATAAAATATTAAATTATATAGAATGATAGTGTAATATTAACCATTTCAAGAGTTTACATTTAATGATGTATGGAAATTCTTTAAACTTTTCGGATAAATGACAATTCTTATTTGAACTTGTTATGAGTATTTAAAAATAAATCATGTAAAGTATTCAGTCCGTGATTTCGACTAAAATATCTATTATAATATAATAATAATAAACTTTTATTTATTATTTATCAAAATTATAAAATTTACTTATGAATCATGAAAAACTACAGAAAGTTTACTATGGCTAATAGACAAGAAATAACTAATAAGGAGAAGATTCACTAATAACAATGTTTGCTACATTTTCAATAACGTAATGACAGTTTGGGTAAATTTGTTAATTATTCATATCAAGGTCTTGCACGAATGTCATGAAACCCAATTACAAAAACCTACGTCTCAACTCAATTTGTTAATTTATTGACAAACTAAACTAAACGACGAAAATAAGTAAAAACTTGAACTATAATATAAATGAAGTTCATTAATAATTATTTTAAATGCAATGGTATATGTTTTTAGCTAATCGCTAAATTCAACCTGTTTAAAAACCAATTTCTTTTAACAAAACCTGCTCAAAAATAAATAACTGTTACCTTATTACGACCTTATTATTTAGGTCTTATAAAATATTTCACACTCTTTTTGTTAAGTTTAATGTTAATTTCCGATATACCTACCAACAGATTAATGAGAATGTTAAAACATGCTTATCAATGTCACAATAAATATTAGTTAAGCAGTAACTCAACTCGTAAACTACAACTTTTACCTACACCTATAAAAACACATTTTATTACGATTACGACTGAGAGTGCTTGCCAGTATCAATTCGGACCAATCTTTTGTCATTTCAACACACAATTTACATTTTATGATTTTGCTATTAGAATTCGTATTCATCATGTGTATGGTCTTTGGAAGGCAATCCAAAAACCGTCATTAAGGTGACACGTTACAGTTACCGTCATATCCAATCGAAGCGTATCCAAGAAACAAATAAAGGTAATATGGATTTTCAAAGAAACTACCTTTATTGTTGAACTCATTAATTAAATTACGTTACACAAAACGAAAAAGCAATCCCTGTAAGATAAACACTGAAAATAAGTAACCATGACATACCACATCGCTAGCAATTCAAAATTAAAGGAATTCAAGCAGAATTATAGTTTAAAGTTGGGTTACTGCTTTCATAATATACTGTGACAACATTACCTATAAACTCAAGCAACGGGTAGCGTCAAAGGATTATGAACCTCAAGTTAAGAAGGATAAGTGTAGTTTTAATAGGACAGTTAGCGTTACTAGGTTGTTGGTCGCACAAGACTCGCATTCCTGGGTTAGGGACATACCCTCTAATCAATTTGCCCCGTTTTTGGGGCAAGCTCGGGTCTTTTTGCGTTATCCCAGTAGTCCCAATGATGGATACATCTGTGCCACGCCTATGGAAGGAATCAAACATACACACATCTTGACAAAATACTTACACATAACGTTTTTCTCTTAGCAATAATTTACACAATACAGACGGAATATAAACTAAGTCAGTCACATGAATATATTCTGTGCTAAATATAAATAATTTATCATACGAGATGAGACAAAGAACTCATTAATAATTTGATTCATAAAAGTAATTACAATGACAAAAAATAAGACACTTAACCTACATTAAGTGGCGTCAAAAATAGATTAATTAAATTATGTGCACATAAATTTTAATAAACTATTATTTAGAAGAGCGTCAGCGTGATCATAATTGTGTTTTGAAAACTTTGAACGTCATATCGAAATGGTAATTGTTGCTGCTATAAATTGATTTTAAGTCTTTCATAATCATAAGTAATCTAGATCTCTTGAAAACATTCCATCAAAATTCGATTGTATTCCACAATACAAAAATAATAATATAAACTAAGGAAAAGACACTAATGTCCAGTTGCACAAACGGCCATTGAAATTGTCATTAGTTTAAAGCCACATTACAAAATTTCAAATTTAGAACACTAGAGAAATTGATTTTAAGTCTTTCATAATCATAAGTAATCTAGATCTCTTGAAAACATTCCATCAAAATTCGATTGTATTCCACAATACAAAAATAATACCTAATATAAACTAAGGAAAAGACACTAATGTCCAGTTGCACAAACGGCCATTAAAATTGTCATTAGTTTAAAGCCACATTACAAAATTTCAAATTTAGAACACTAGAGAAGAACACTTACATCCAGTAGCACAAACGTCCATTCAATTTATTATTATTTAAAGCGACATTACCGATACAAATTTGACATTAATTAGAGCTTAAAGTTGTCATTAAACCTTAATGGACCTTTGTGCATCTGACCATTGGAACACTAAAGCTTAAAGTCGTCATTAAATCTTAATGGAGAAAAATACTCGACAAATACCTATATAAGTATATTTTTTATTATTTATAATACTTTTCGCAAGTTTATTAGAAAGAAAAACGATTCGATATAGGAAGATCATCAATCTTACGTCCAATATTACAAGATTTGAAACCAGGATCTAGAACCGGTAATTATAAATGTTAAGAAAGTGAATAACCGTGTATTTTGGCACACGGTACTCTCTACTAACGTCCGTGTAAATATAAAGATTATGAACAAAACTAAGCTACAGCATTCAGGCCTCTTACTCTGTTTTGGCGTCTTTGATCAATAACCAATGTTTTAGTAACTATACAGTTCTTTCCGGCACGGTGTTAAGAAGTAGAATCCAGAAGGCAATACGTATGTTCTAGTAAAAAGAGAGATTAAAGAGCTTCGATATAGATAAACATTGATCAGGTTTCTTAGGGTGAACACATCATTGACTTTGAATTTGCATTATTAGTTATAATGTAAGTTTTCAATCAAACCACAAAACCGATTCAAAATCAAAACTGATCTCTCGCGATGAAATCGGATTCCGTTATATAGACAGCATCAAATATTTGGGCACAATCAAAACTTCAAAATAAACACAGAGCATAAATGCATAAAACAAACGTTTTCAGCAAATGAAAAAGTGAAAAGGAATCCTATAGCTATATTTATTTCATAGTCATCATCATCAGCCTTCTAAGGTTGCCGTAGCTGGCAGCTGGATCGCGCAAGAGAACGAGCTATAGTGCATATTAGCACCGATGAGTGGGTTCAAACAAGTGCAGATGCAGGGATCAATAATTTAACGTGCCTTTCTTTCGAAGCAAAGAAGAATAATATAAACTAAGTATTTGATCATCCACGAAACTATTACTCTTTGGAAACTATCTTCCCAATACCGATCGAGCTCGCGTAAAACCATATCTTTTGTTTTTGATGGCACAGTAGATAAGAATGTTTAGATCGAAAAAGTCTCATTAACTATAATGAAAATATTTGTATTTCCATTATTTCCCGTAAGCACAGTCAGATAATCCAAAATATCATGTCACTTACTGCCCATACAATAAGGCACTAACATTTTTAGATATCAGTGTACCAATGGTTTATTGGCAGTAAACGCTTTCATCGCGCCGGATCATAAACCATAACTAGATCTGTTTCAGAGAAAGAGAATTGGAAATTGATTTACTGTCCGATTGCTCTATTACATAGACAGTTTACGACCAATCCAATGGTAACATTAAATTTTACGCGTATTTGTTCTGCAATGAAAAGGTTTGTTAAAAATTTCGAGGGCTAGCTTTCCAAGCGGCAAATTTTCTGTTACTATTTCTTAAGTGGTAATTAAAATAAAATCAATTTATATTTAACAATAAATTAAGCAGTTTTTATAATCGTATTTCCCTATTTCTTCCATGCCTGATTCTATATATCGGAAAAGCGCGTGTCCCAGTATTAGGAACATTCATGTAATCTGATAATGCTGATGTTATTTCTCATTACTATCATTGATGTTTGTGATTCTTAAAATTTCCAGTGGCCTCACTTATGTATTCCAAAGCAGGATTAAATATTATTTGCGTTCCACTGACCTGTTGGTATGCACTGCCAAACCGAATCCCTCCGGCGGTGCGGCGATGTATAGAGGCGGCGGCGGTTCCTGCGTGCCCGCGCACAGACCTGCGCCTGTTGACGCGTTCGAAGCAGAAGAGCATGACGAATTAGAGTGGTTCAATGCTGAAATAAATAAATGACACTTCATATTTCATACTTTGAACTTGATCAAATTAAATTAAAGATTCTGTAGACAATATTAATAAATATATCGAAATTTTATCTGACTCGTAATCTTCAAGATGCAGGTTGATAGCCTCTTGGTAACATTCTTAATTTTCTATCCAGTACAGCACGAAAGATGGAAATCACGACTTCATAAGGAGACTGAGAAACCATAAAAAGGGCAGAATTCCTAATAACAGAACTAAACTAGCTGATTCCCACAGCAAAACACAATATAACTCATAACCAATTATATCTGAAACTTAGATAGAAATCAGAACACTTCACAAACAGCTAAACATATTTATGGAGATACAGTCTATTGACGAACCTGGCATGGGCCGGTGGACAGCAGTAACATATCTGTTGCCCTCCATGTACCCCCTGTCTGGCTCAGGGTGTCCATGGTGGCTATGCAGCGAGTGCTGGTGCGAGTAGAAACCGTCCGGTGGATGTAGAGCCACGCCGCCACTGGATTCCTCCTCGTCCACCTTTTGTGAGAAGCTGGGGACAATGGAAAATGCATTTTAAATTTAAACGTCATTTACAGTTATGTTTCGTTATTAATTTATGAGATTCCATCATGATCTCAAGAAAGGGCTAGTACAAAATTTGCTAAAACTGAGCCTATAGGCACTGATAAAATAGCCATCAGAACACCTATCCTCAAAGTTTCCTACCAAATCTAAAATTTTATTTCTGTGCAGTCATACATAGTGCTGATTAACCATCCCTCAGCTGATTCTTTTGAATAACTGAAACAATATGTATGGAACACTAATTTTAAACAATTAAACGTCTGTTACTATATTTCTCAGGGTGATTAAGATATAAGAGAGTTAAAAATTGGTACAGCTTAACTAATTTCAAATCATAATGACATCATCAGATTTAAGTATCGAACACAAATTGATTTAATTCACTTCATAAATTAACACCAAAGCCATACACAACAAGTATTATAAAATTTGCAAACAAAGCACATGGTAACAGATGTGCTGTTCGTAGTCACCATATAAGGCGTTAACCTGTTCTAACAACAGACGCCCACGATCACCTGTCCATATTCGCACCTGGCCTTACATTACCTACGACTTGATCGTCATACAAATCGTGCTGTAAACATCCCATTGTAGGACTTTCTATTAGCTATGGAGAGATGTAATGTATAAGGAGACGCGGAATTATGTGCGACCCATGGTGTAGGCGTAAGGAGGATAATTCCAACAGATGATGGACATTCATTTTCATTATATTGTACAAGTTAGCGCTTAATGCGCGTAGGTTAGCTGGGTACCGATGAATAAAAGTGATTAGAGAATCAACTGTGGATTGTAATGCATTATAGATGGTAATAAAGTAGACCTATCGAACCTACTTGACAGACTGAATAATTGTTTACACCCCAGTTCGTTGTCATCACACAAAGGTTTGCGTATCTAAACACGTCGTTAGACAAGTGACGATTGATAAATCCTTAGCTCCACACTCAATATACATAAACGTGCCCAAGGATATGTTACTATTATTAATTGACAGATAGTTTAGTATCTAGCAACGGTTCTTGTAGATCTATTCACATTATTGAATGGGTTATAAGTAAATCATATAGTAATAAAACAACATTAGGGCTTAGTCGCTTGAGAGTTTCACATTTTCGGCTCTTGATTTACTTGATAATTTACTTGAGATTATATAATTTAAAAAATCACATTTCATTTTTATTAGGCGTACTCTGACCTGCTTGGTGAAAATAAAAAATCTAAATGAGCAAGTTTAACATATATTGAAGGCAAAACATATGTTGAATTATGATACGAATAAATTTTCAATTTTACTATTGCAAAAACGAGTATACATATATCCATTGATAAACTAAGTATAAAAATGTGCTCAATTGGAACATTACGTTCAGGCATTACAGTTATGAAATTAATAATGGTGAAAAGATAATCGGGAACAGGAATCTAGATCGCAGTAAACATTTTGAAATATATTAATATGAGGAAGGTGACCTATGGAAAACTTATCCGCAATGTTTTTACAAAAATAACTGCTTGTCGATCACAGAAGAAGAACAGAGATCTTAATTTCTAAACAAGCAATAAATAGAGAGCTAAGAACTTTGCTAACAAAAATGAGTTTCGAAATCTCCTAATCATATCAAGAAGTAAACGTTTCGTAACTGAGTAATAAGACTCACGCCCCAAATAACCCCTTATCAACACTACACGCGAAAGTTTTCCCAGAGGCATTATAAATATTTCTCCTATCTACGAGTACGTTAAACATTGGATTGTACTGGAATCTGGGACGGTGTTATGTCAACTGCAGAGGCTTGTAATGTACGATTACTAGCATTGTGTTAATAGGCAAGAAATGTTTATAGTGAAATAAATATTTTTATAGGTTTGGAATGTTCTAATTTGTAACATTAAAGGATTGAAACTAAGACTAGAATACAGTCAAATTTATGTTGTATAAATTTATTAAACAAGAACAAAATTATTTATGAATTCATTTTTATCACAAAGAAAATACTAATATTAACATAACATAAAGAGAGAAATCTAATATACAATATGTACCCATTTAAAAAAAATCATTCAGTATAAAGTACATCATACTAGATGGTCACACAACGTATTACAATAGACTTGAGATATATTGTTTCAAACTTGATAAAGATAAACTGGCAATTATACATCGGCACCGTTATCGGTTATCCAGTGGACGTCATATATGCTGTCTAGTCGAGATAGATGAGAAATACCGAAATCTTATCTAAAAACGAGTTCCGATTGAGTAATCCAAACAAACACCTTATTTCAGATCGATCTGCTAACATGGTAGATATAGAAATAATCTATTTATCCCTTCTTAGACTTTCGATGGGCAATATTATTTAGTTTTATGGCAATACAAACCTATCACTAGCAAGATAATTAGTTATTTACAAATACTTACATATTTTAGAAGAAGGTGAACATAATCAAAAATAAGAAAAAAATTACAATAAAAGCGCCGCGACAAAATATATCAAATTTTATTGTGTGTGTAACAGCCATGCAAACCATCACTAACGTTTGGGACAAGGTAAGTTTCTACATCTGACAATCAAAAGGTATAGAAAGATCCATTTACATATACATATTTATTTTCATATTGTACTTTTCAAAAGGTTATCCCAAAGAGGATTTAGTGGATATCTATTATGAGACCAGGGAAACAATTTTTTCGAGTTAAAGTAATAAAAAGATTTTCAATATAACTGATGTTGTTAGTCTTATTCGATTCTAATATCGATAAACGTGTCTAAATTCATGAGTAAATAGTATATTTACAAAAAAAAACGCATCAAGGAAATATAAATCTACACAAAAGATTAAGTCGTTTCTCGCTGTCTGTACGCTGAGAATTGTTAAACTACACAATGAATTTTGACGCAGTTTTCAACAACAGAGCGTTTAGTGTAAGTTTTTTGACGTTTACGTTCACTGTGTATCGTGAGCGCGTTGAGATTTTAGTATGGAATCCGGTACAGCACACCTAGCGGTAACTACCGAGAACTACAAATCTCCATACAAATTCTTAACGCGCTCACAAGTGAACGCGTTAGCGTAAAACTTACACTTACCACTCAGATAGTGATTCAAGAGGAAGCTTTTTATGTATAATATTAGCTAATGTAACATTGTATGAAGCCCATGCAATGAGAACTGAATAACAGCTTCGAAAGTCAACGGACAATAGCAGAGACCTCGGAAATACGATGTAGAGTCCTCATGTTCAGTTACGTTTATTTGTTTCTTCAAAATCAGTAGAATGTTAATGATTTTGAGTGTACACAAACCAAGTAATTTCATTGCAATTAAAAACTGCGGATAACCTACAATCGCCTTATATTGCTCTTGGCTGCTTTTATTTACTTTATGAATGAAGAAGACAAAGACAACTCGTCGAAAATATATGAGTATAACACATAACTGTACCATTTGCTAATATGATAATAACTGCTTGATTCATATAAACTGGCAGAGCGTTGAAAAATTACTGTAACCCGGCACAGTCGAGCGGACAAGTGTGATAAGCAATCTATTAGTTGTGGTTTTTTTTTAATTAGGAAAGTAATAAGTTAAGCTCAATTCAAAATAAAACGATTAACAAATACAATGTTAGCTAAAATGTTATTTTATGAGTCGCATAAAAAAAGAAAATTGCGCATTACGATAACAATTATGACAATATAACATTAACAATTTATGTAGAAAATTTAATAGGCTTCTTACATTCAGTGTATTAACAGATTTACATAATCCTTAAGAAAATACAATTATAAACTTTGACTTGCAAATTGCAACGAAGAGTGCAAAACGAAAAGCCTTCACGCCGAATGAAAGGAGAGAGATACAAGAAACCAAACCAAACCAAATTTTTTGTTTTATAAAGTAAAAAAGTACCATATATTACCAAAGTTACACCTATGATTAAAGCATAAGTAACAAATTGTCGATTGACAAATGTTTTAGTTAATGTTTCACTGTGAAAAATCATGGCGGGCCACTTTTGAACCACAGCAATAAAAATCTACCCTTGTTCTAGTTTTTGAGATACTTTTTATTTACATAATCATTAAGTATTTCTGATACATCCAGGTAGTCCATACAGCAGAAGTGGTTTCAAATATAAATTAATTTTGCTTTACGTGGTTTTGTATCAATAAATAGATGTATATTTATATTTTAGTATGAGCTATACACTTTCAAGTATTTGATGTTACCACATTTATTAAATTTTGTTACACCACAAAGCATTCCGTATGGGATTATACTAACAGACCGTTGAGCTCAGCGCGTGCGCGTTCCTTGACAGTGGCCGCAGCGCTCAAGCGTATCATCCTTCCACTGACGTGAAGAAGGCACTAATTACTTCATACCAAAAAAAATCTCGAACGATATTGCTCAAGACAAAAACCCGTCGACAAAATAATATTAATCTAGTAAAACTGATCTAAACTATAATAATGCAATCAATAAATATGAAAATAAAACAAGGTTTTAAATATGACTTGCATTTTAGTCATATATTTGGGGCAAATCAAAACTATATCACAAGAATCACAAATTATTTAGATTGATTAAATACATAATTTTTTATTAATAAAGGGCCTGTTTCATCATTTGCTGATAAAGTTTTATATAGTTATGTAATATATAAGCCATCTGACAGTTAAAAGTCACTAATATTATCCGTCAGACAGTTCTATCTGAGAATTGTGAAACCGAATTTGCAATTATTTGGCAGATAAGTTTCTGATACGCTATCAGAGAGATCAGTAAGCGGTCATCAGAAATTGGCCCTAAATACTGGATATAAACTGTTAACAGTTTAAGTTATTTGAAAATTTAATGCAGTCAGCTTCATTTTTATTATGCTGCATTTAATATGAAATTCGATGGATATCACAAGATGTCACTGATTTGACAGTATAAATAAGTATAAAT